ACTCTTACGCATAACTAGAGTACCTCAATAAGACAATATTTTAGTTTTAGGGCTCTAAATTTCCTTTTTCAAAATTTTTTTCACAATTGATTAATAAATAATATTAAAAATGTTTAAAACTATCCCATTGAAACTATTATAATTACTATGAAAATATATTGTGAAAAAAAAATTTCTCGTGTTGACCAAAAAACATGCTAAGCTCTTGTTTATTTCATTTGTTCCGTTCTTTGTCTGTTTTTTCTCAATTTTTTTCATGTACGAACGCATATTTGCATGATATCAAAAAAAATAATACTTCTTGTATGAGCGCATATAAATATTCTTATATGTGAAAGTCGACGAAATATAAAAATAATATGGGTGAATGATGAAATTCAATATCAAAGAACTATAAATAAAAATGATAGAAAAATTTTAGTGTCTCCTGCGATTTTTAAGATAAGAGAGAAAAAAGTCCTAATAAGCATTTTTGCCATTTAATTACAATACATTGTATTTTGCGTAATGTTAATAATAAAGAGATCCGAAACCAACTACAAATACCTGTATCATACTAATTGTTGCAGATTTGAAAGTACATAGAACATAGATTTAAGCCTATCTGACTTATCGTAAATTCTTAACTTTATATATGCACGTCGTTCATAAAGTCTAAAAATTAATAATAAGTCTTACAAAAATTATGAATTTATGAAAAAAAAATTATTAATTAGTATATAAGGAATGTCCCAAAGTCTCGTAGTAAGGTAACGACGAATCCGACTAACTCATTTTAAACATAACTGCATCATGCAATACAATACGTACCAATTTAACAACTTTTTATAAACTTAAGTAAATTCACACATTTGATTGTATTGCAACATTAGTTAACAATCACTAGCTAGTTTAACATAGTAAATTATTAAAAACTGCCTAAGGACTGAATGAAATCCATTGCTTTTAAATATATTATTGGAACATATTAATTTTTATGGCAAATACTAACAGTTTGGAAACTCTCATTAGAATATTAAAAATACTTTTATAATACAGATATAAAAAAAAACACGAGAAAAACACGGGGCATAGTTTCTTATAGATTTTTTTTGAATAAAATATTTTGCATATATAAGAGAAGCATTACTAAAATAGTCATGATATTGATGATCATTATACATGAACTAGCTATCTAACTGGAATGACCAATATATAGTATGATTATAATCATATAATAATAGTTATGATCATCATTTATGATTATCATTTATGATAGTAATCATGACCATCATTTTATAGTATATTATAGTATATAGTATATACGATTAAAATAATCGGCAAAGGATTGATCAAAAAGTGATTTTTTAGTTTAAAATTCCCATAAGAACATTAAAAAAATACAACTGTACACCATTAAAATAGTACCACTATAAGTTATGTATCAATGTATCAAAACAGAAAAAAAAAACGAAATGAAAAAAAAAGAAACCAAATATAACAAGCCGCCATTAGGATATTTGTCTGAGATGATCAAGGTAAATACTACAGGCAATTTATCTTTTTATGTACATACATACATATACATATAAAAAACAGAATTTTTATAAATATTTAGCACATAAACATAAGTTAAATGTATTTTATATGGTTATATACACAAAGGTACGTGTATGGACAGGACAGCAAAAGAAAAATTGAAAGATAACGTTTCATTTTTCAATGGACTGAAAGCGATGGTTCTTAAATAACATCCTATCCTCTAATAATTTGTTTATATATGCTACATAATATAATATGTAAGTATGTATGTGAAAATTATATATAAACCAATGCATACATTCAGCACATATGTATATAAAATTTAAAATTATTTTATTTTATTAACAATGTTTGTATCTAGCTCACGTAAAACTCATTTTTTACAAAATTTTTTCTATTATGCATAAACAACTAATAAAGGATTATTCAATTCGTATGGAATTGGTATATACATGGGACCAAAAAGTCAACTGTTGAATTCGTTGTGAATTTAAAAAAATTTTGTAATTATTAATCGAAAATATATGTATATACATTTCATTTAAAAAGTTAAATTCTTTCAGAATCTCATCAAAGGACTCTTATTATTTAAAGCGGATGTATGAACATCTTTCACCTAAAGTCTTCTTGAGTAAAAATATCTTTAATTACGGAAGCATTTCTAAAAAGTTATTTGGAATTTGAGAAGAAGGCCATTTGAAACCAAAATAAATACGTAATGCAAATAACATGGAATAAAAAAAATAACAAAAATAGCCTAAAGATAGGCAATTTTTTAAAGTCTGTTAAAATCATTGTAATTTTCCAATAAACATTTTAATGCTTAAATTTTTAAGCTTGTCTATATATAATTTAAAATAATTTCAATATTTTTGATGTTCCCTTAAAATATTTTCAATTTTTAATACTTTTAGCGCAATGTTTGCTTTATGAAGACTATTAGATTCTAACGACATTGACAATTTCGTTAAAATATAAAAATCAGTAATTGATGGATGATGAATTCCAATATAAATGGGCAGACTACACCTAAGACACCATACTTGAATCACTTTCTATATTATGTAGAGTTTCCCAATAAACAAAAATATGAAAATGTACTAGCTATGTAAAACTTTTCAAACTGCTAAGGTACAAATTTTTTTGTTAAGCTTATTTTTAATATACACTTTTCTTTTAGGCTTAGTTAGACCTAGATTATACATCTTTATTCACCTTCTTCTTCGTCATCATCATCATTCTATTTATCATTGTAAATAAGGAGCAATAATGAAAGAATATAAGACGAAAACAAAAAAAAGACAAAAGTACTGTTATTGAATACGCGGAAATAAAAATGTAAATTATTTATTGGATAAAACTACCTATAGATTTCAACAAAAATATCTTTCCAAATAGATTTTATATGCGCTTAAAAAATAAATTTTAGATTTTGTTTTTTTATAATGTGTGTTTTTTTGTTTTATGCGCGATTGGAATTGCGCTTGCGCTTAAAGTTGCGTTTCTTTTTTTGTTTTATTTTTTTTTCTAATATTGTTTGTATGATTTTGCGTCTGCTGGACATATTGAATGAATACCATAAGATTATGTATAAATACGTACTGATGCACATATATTCAGGCATTTTAATGTAATATATCTAAATACAATTGCATGGTACAATAATAGTACAATTGTATGTATAAACACTTTGTATGATTTTATTTGTATTATTTTCATTTTAGTTGGAAATATTATATTGAAAGCGTTTTGGTTATCAAAAATTGATTTGAATACAAATTATCTTTGAATGAAGAAAATTTTCCAAGCAGCCATTGCGTTTCTGCTTTTATATTTTCTTCTATATTATATTGAAATCTCACAATTTATTGAGATAAAAGAAAAAAGAAAAGCCGAAAAAGAAAATTATTTGATAAAAATAGCAAAAAAAAATAATAAGAAAAAGGAGCACAGTAGAAAGCTTTTACAGTTAATCTGAAAATAAATATTTATTTTTTATGTTAGTTTTTATGATGCGTTTTTCTGATATATAATTTAAGAACTTTAGTCAATCTTTGCATTAAAAAGGAAATTGTAATCCCTCCATTAAATTTGTATACTCAATATGTGTATTTTAGCTTAATGTTGAAATTTCTAGCGTTATAATAGTTGTGTAAATTTAAATATTAAAAAGGAGTGTGAGAAGCTATTTTTATTGTTGCAGATTATGCTGTTTGGGAACGTGATGTTAAAACATTATTCCATTTTTCAGCTGATGAAACTCATTAAGACCATCATTTAGACCATTTTGTTTTAATTAAGACCATAATCTTAATCATAGAATCATAATTTAGATCATTTTGTTTCTGCTTTAGAAAATGTACGTATTACTTTAGAATATACGTAGATTTCGCAGAATTGAATACAAACTTTAGAAAGGGAGAGAGTTATACATAGAATTTTGAAAGATAAAATGAATTAAAATTAGCTGTGGCTTAACTAAAATATTGCAAATTACCGTACATATAGTTGATTATATTGATATAAAACAACGCTAGTTAATATTAAAACATAAAACAAATTTGGAATGCTGAGAACAATCTCGAATTTATAAAATTTGAGAGAGAAGTTATGATTACAGTTATTTGAAATCTTTATCAAGCTTTAAGAAATAAATTGAAATAAAATTGGTAGGTTTTCCAAAGAAAAACTCAAACATTTTAAGTGGCTTTAAAAAATCACGGCGATGTTTTAGACGTCATACATTCCCTATATTTCTAATGGGAAATTCTATTTTTCAGAACCCCACGTGTGAGCGTTGAATAAATTATTTTGCCACACTATATCAGGATTTGTAATTTAAATGTAATCTACATTATCACTATACCATGACCAAATTATATGAAAATGTTATAAATGAAATATCAAAATATGAAGTGATTTATCATGACTAAATCATTGAAAAATTTTCTTAAATTTGAATATATCGAGATTTTGAAAATGAACAAGAGAAAATTATTGCATTTATTGAAAATTTATTACATTTTATGTAGAACAATGCAATATTACGTTACGAATAACATTAAATACTGGAGCAAAAAACAAAAAGAGATTCTCTTACATTCCTCATAAATTCGCATTTATGTACCGGTACGTACAAACATAAAAAAATTTCCGATCATAAAATTCAATATCACCGTATACCATACTTTATTTTCAACATCTCTATTCATTTATTAATAGCCTCTTACAAAAATCATAAAAAATTATTTAATGTTTACTAAGCAATAAATAAAAAAGTGTAAACGAGAATTTTATGGTGGCAGTTTTTTCAATACTTTTACATGATTTATTTCCTAATATTTAAGAAGTTTATTGCCTACCGACCATTTTTCTCTAAGTTTTTTTCATATACATACTTTAAAATAAATTTATTTCAATAAGATGTTTTTTTATATATTTTGTGTATGAGAAAATATTAAAATTCAGAATGTACTAACCTTTGTAAATGCCCTTCAACACCTGGCGGTAAAGAATCTGCAACAATAAAAACAGCTTGTCCGCCACCATGACCAGATGTACTATATGGTAAATTACCCTGTAGTACAATTTGCCCTTCGGCAACTAAATTATTTAGATCAGCTTGTGAATATACCATTTCTAATGCTTTTTGATCACTTGTTGTATAAATAACTGTTTTATTGCCATCCTCATAAATTAAATCAATTGGTTGATGTTGTTTATCATTTGTTGTATATACACTTTCTAATTTTGCATCAATTGTTTCCTTTTCATATATTAAATCTTTTGGATCAGCTTGTGTATAAACTGAAGCATCCAATGGTGATGTCTGATACATTGATACATTTGGATCTGGTGTTAATTTATGATTTGTTTCAAATCCATCAACATCAGGTGATAATAATTTTGATGGATCACTAACAATACGTGTTAATATATGTTCACCAGCTTCATTTCTTGATAATATATGATGTTCACCATTAATAATTTCACGACTTATAATTTGTTGTTGTTCACCATTTGGACCAATAACACGTATAATATCACCGTCCATTTCAATTTTTGTCAATAATTGTGGTTGTTGTTGTTGTTGCTGTTGTTGTGCAACAGCAGCTGCAACTAATTCATTTTGTGCTGCAGCAACTAATCTAGCATCAATAACTTGATCTTGTGCACTTAATTCAGTTACTTTTTGATCACCATATATAAAAACAGTATTTTTATCATACAATTTTGATGCATCTGATGCACCTTGAGTTTGTAAATCTAAAACACTAACATTTGTCATTGTAGACATTTCGGATGTTGGACTATCTTCTGTTTTATGAATAACATTATTTGTTGATGTCGATGTTGATGTTGTTGTTGTTCCTGTTAAAATTTCATCAGAATCTGAATTTGATGATTGATGTTTATGTAACATTGTGGTTGCTGTTGTTGTTGTTGTATTATATGGAAGACTATGATTACTATTGCTATTACTATTATGTGATACTACAACATGTGTTGTATTATTAACTGTTTCAACTATTGATGTTGATGTTATTGTTGTAACGGCTGTCGCTGAATCAATTACTGATGATGGCAATGATGGCGATGAAGATGATTTTGAATGTGAATGAATTGATGAAATTGATAGATCCTGAGTTTGTGGTGAAGACATAATTTTTTTTCAATACAAATATGATTTTTGGATTTCTGCTTCTTTGTCACTCTTAAGAGTATAGAAAACCAAAATTATAATATTGTATATAGATAATATGAGTATAAAAAATTGTTATTCTTAAAGAATATTTAAAGCTTATAAATTGATTGCACTTAATTATTATAAATTTAAAATTACAAAAAAGAGAGGAGAAAAAAAACCTTATAATTCTTATGGCTTTTTGATTGTTAGCTTCAATAAAATTTCTTTATTAGGCAAGAATAATTTCGTATTTTGATTTAAAAAAAAACTTCACATTTAAAATTAAAATGTTGTTCTTTTAATACTTTTCAAATATTAAAAATTGGACGGAACTTTTTTCATTAAATTTTATTTCAGATATTAAAATTTTTCTTCTTTTATGGCACTTTTGTACTATTTAAAAATATTCCTTAGTATACACCAATTAATTTATATGTATAAGATATTGTAAATGCGTTGATAACCGCACCAATGTGAGTAGTATACAGTTGTAAACTGAAATAGAAAAAAAATTTAATTAAAGCTTAGTATTTTACATTACAAAATAATTTTCTAATATTTAAAAATAAATTATAATTAGCAATAATATTAAAATTTTGAATCACAAGAAGAAAACTAATTTAGACCTATAATACTTTTGCTTTAAGGATTACTAAGGATACTTGATTACAATAGGTAAGAAAAAGTTTTTTCTTAGAAATTCAAGCAGGACCAAATCCTATTGTATATTAATTTTATTCATTTTGATTTATATTCATTTCCGAGTTTAGATTTATCGCAAATATCGCGAGTCGGATTATTTTAATACGTGCTTTATGCACTTGTCGTGACATCGGAAATAATTTTGGTACAAAAATATCTACTTCTATATTAATCACCAACTACTTGAACAATAAGTTGCTTATAAAAAAATATTAAAGTAAATACATAAAAGCTAATTACAGTCCTTTAACATACGCAACAGCTATTGCAGCGAAAGTATTTAAGAAACTCTTTTAATGATTTCTGTCTCTAATTTGAAGCCCACGTTAACCAAAATCTTCGCTTTTATTATTTTTCGATTTATTTATCGACTTTATCGAGCTTTCAATACCTTCTCATATCTTATGATTGTATAGGTATTATATGTATTCACATAAATACGTATTTCATTTTAAAGTATTTTTACTTTATTTCAAATTTAATTTGCCATAGAAACAATTGAAATTTCTCTTAAAAATATTCAATAGTATTCAACAAAAAAATTTATAACATCCAACAGAGTTACCAGTTGAATGTTATAAATTTTTTATAGCGATCAAAAACGTTTTATTAATAATATAATACTCAGCGTCGGATTTACCATATATGCAAAGTAATCATATGCAACGAGCGTCATAAAACTAGGGCGCAATTATTACGCGCAATGTGCAATGTTTATTGCGTATTATACATTGCTTTGAAAGCAAGGAGTAGGGGCACTTTTTGAAAACTGCCTAGGGTGCCGAACAAATTAGAACCGGGCCTGATTATACTATACGTATTCATAACTCTTATGTAACAAAGAACAAAGAAAATTTAAATTGTTTCAGATATTCACAAATCAGTTGATTTTGGTTTTTATCAATGGACGTTCTTCTCGTAATGTAAAATGTCTTTAGCACAAAATTTTTATCTACACACTAAATTTCAATTAATTAATTTGTATAACAAATTCTTTTATATAAATTGTAAATGGCAACCTTAAATACACCTTTAGAATCCAATTCCTTAATTGTATACATTTATACACACACTTACGAATTATTGTTTAAAATTTTATCTGGCATTGGTAAAAGAAATCGAACAAAGAAAAAAAACAAGGAAAAGAAAAACTAAATTTAAAGCTCATTTTATAAGGCAATAAAGTAATGAAAGATTCTTGTATAGAGATAAAATTTATTAAGATGAAATATTAAGTTTTGGTATCGATATGCAGGGGTAAGCATTATATTTAATATTATCATAAAAAAATCTAGAAGAAAGAAATGCACATATTGTTTTTTTTTTTGGTGTAATTTTGAAAATAATAATTTTTTTGATCGGTTTTTTTGGGATACAAAAATAAGAATACATTTTCTATAATATTAAATTCAAAAAAACAAAAACTTTTTTTTTATTTTTTCCCTACAGTTATGAGAAAATGGTTAAGAATTTTTGTTGGTTCAACCAACTATGCAATAATAATACTATTGAAAATTAAAATGACACACGTTAAGTTTTTTTCTGAAATAATTTAAAATAAATTGAGGAGTACAAACTTAGGAAGAATTTTTGGTTTATCTAGCTAGCCTATAGATGTTTGTAACAATATCCAACGTATATTTCTAAAAAGCCTAATCCAAAAAAAATCAATGCTTACTATTTATTAAACTAGAATAGAATGTTTCACTTAAGTTTTTTAAACGTATATAAATGGGAAATCGAAAAAAATATAAAATAAATTAGGAGGTGATCATAATAAATATTTAGAATTCGGAAATTAATTTAAAAAACTTAACATAAACATTTAAGAGCAAAAGAAAGTTGTTTTGTTGACTGAACAAATGTAATCATTTTTAGAGAAACTGTATACCATTTCAGAATTGTCATTATTATATTGCTCATTTTAAGCTCAGTTTTAAGTAACCTGACAGCTTTTTCTGTAAAACATCATAAAAATGGCGTTTTCTCACAACTTATCATGTCTAAATGACAATAATGTTTCTCCTGACACTGTAAAGCCACATAAAGTAAGTTCACTATATCGAAATGCCCGTTGGAATTAGAAAAGAGAATAAATAAATTTAAGAATGTAAAACTTAAGATTTGCCATCCTATATGATTAATTTTTTTGTTTTTAAGTGATTTTTTACCCGAAATAAGAGTTCTTTTCATAAAAACGTTTGCTATATTATGCTATATTGTTTTATAAACAAATGTTTCTGATCCATTTTGCTAATGAACATTACTAAATTATCAGAAATATAGAGAAATTGTTATGAGTAGCGCAGTTAAATCATCTTAACTGTTTTACTTTTATAGAAGAGGCAAAAATATTTTCGATATCCATTACGTAATATATTCACAGTATTGCATTTATAAAAATTTCTTAAGTGTGTTATTAATAAAACTCTAATTAAATTTAATTCGATGCTCAGTTTAGTTTGAATTCTTCATATAGAATCTTCTAAAGTGTTGCTAACATTTGACCGAAATCGTCATACCTCAATCTCTTTAGAACTCATGGAAATGCATCATATGTATATGCATATGTATATAAAAAATTATTATTTTAATAAAAAAAAATACATGTGTACCTGTGGTCTGATAACTAATAAATACACTCTCTACATATACATACATAATTATATTTGTATAACAATTCACGTATTTATAATATTATTACTGATATTATAACTCATAAAAGTTACACCTGTAGGGGACTAAAATTATTTTTTATATTCACATAAAAAATAATAAAACTAAGAATATTTTTGTTTTTATGTTTTATTGTAGTTATTCTCCTTTATAATTTATATAATAATTTTACAGTAATTGTAGCTGATGATTCTTTTGGAAATTTTTTCTTTATTATACAAAAAGGGGTTCACTTTTTTTTATTTTTAATATTTTTTGTATTTTAAATGAAAATTTTTGGATAAAATTTTCATATATCAAAAACATGTATAAGAAATTATTTTAATTTTGTTGTTTTTTTTTTGTTTTTTTTTTTTACTTAATAACATAATTTTTGTCATATATAACGTTAATGTTATGAGTGCACAGGGAAATGTCGATATGAAATTTTGTTTTTATGTTTTTTAAATATAATTATTATAAAATATATAATTTTTTGTTTTTAAATTTATTTTTAAAGTGATAAAATTATGTATAAAGGTGCACACAAATTACGTTGAATATAAATTTACAAAAAAAAAATGGCTTTAAAATTTGATATAAATAACATTAAGGCATTTATTTTTTTTTTTTTTGCGAGGCATGCAAAAGGAAATTATTTTTAGTTGTAGAGTTCTGGACTGTGCAAGGTTAATGTAAAATAGTTAATTTAAAAATAAAAAATTTAGATTAACAATACAATGTATTACAGTCATTGCATATCGTGTGTCTTAATTTGAATTGTTTAAATGTGATTACCTTAATCAGGTGTTTTTGCAAGTAAAAAAACTTTTTTTTAAAGTAAAAGAATTTGTTATTCACACGACATATCAAATATTTTGAACAAGAAAATATTAAAAAGCAGCTCAAATATCAAAGAGCAACCATGACGATTTTAGCGTGTCATTGGTCAGGATCTTATACAGCTTGAATTAATATACTTTACTACACCACTGCAGGAACAGTAAGGAAAAGAGAAAAGATATGAAAGTATTTTATCCTCTTTCTATGTATACGTTCTGACTGGAGTTAGGGTTCGATTAAACTAGATTAGGGTTTCCCTATTTTCATGGTGATCCATACATATTCCGTCCAAAAAATTGACTTAGGATAGCTTTCATTGGATTTTGATTTAAGGTGTAGTTAATTCTAATTAAACAACGGCAGGTTAGTCACCTACCTAGTTAAAAATTCAATGACGTAATGAAACTAGGGCATGACTATCAATGATATCCTAGGATCCTAGCTGCTCCTAGGGGTGAAGAAGCAAAGAATTCTAATTAAACGAAATTTGCTATCAAACGCAATATTTTTGCTTTTTTTCCTTTTTGCCTTGAGACACGCATCAAAACTGATCAAAGCGCTTTAATTTAAAGTTACAAAGCAGAAACTGTTAAAATATTTTTGTTATATACAATAGCAAATATTATATATATACATACATAAATATATGTATATAAATATATACATATACATACATACATCCATACATAAAGTGTACATTTTTACAAAATTTTATAATTAAAAATTTACAATTTTATCTACAACCCCCACCATTTCATGTAGTTTATTTTGCATGAGCTTTTAAAAATATTTATAATTATATAAAACTATTTCTTTGTATTTTGCAACAATTTCAATACCCTCAATAGAGTACTGTAATAATTGAGCATTAATCAAAATAATATTTATAATTAAAATTAATTTTAAATAATGTTTCGAAAGCAAAAAGCTCCATTGAATTCCTTTATAAAGACAGTAATTTATTTATAATTTGAATTCAAAAATTTACTCTACTGTTATACGAGTATTATTGCAAGAAATGTTATAATTGATCATAATTATTGCTTTAAATAATAATTATAAGTGTGTATTAATTAAAATCTTGCAGATATCTTCATTATAAATATTAAAATTTGTTTTGTCACCGTCATCTATAGCCAACACGATTTATTATACTAGTATACTAGTTTAAACATTAGGTATTGAAGATGTTGTTTGACAAATTAATTAATTAATTTGTAGGTCAATGTCAAAATAACAATTATTGACTAAAGCATTGGCTAAATTAAGAAGTTATTAAAATGACAATTTTATTT